CCATTGGAGGTGACATTATAAAACTAAACAAATATACTGTGAATTTTAATATTTATGATTATTTTTACACATTAGGACAAATAAAAAACTATTTTCATGTAAACAAGAAAAATACTTTATATAGTTTTATTGAATTTCATAAAAGTTAGTACAACTGAACTATTTTCTAATTCTTATTATTATGTAGTCTTCAAAATCTTTAAAAGCTAATTCTGATGGATTTGAGAGAAAGATCATAGAAATAAGTTGGATTATTTAAGTAAACAACAGGCTAGCATGAGCTAATCAACAGGTTTTACTTTTATTAGTATTATTGAGCATATATTTGCATACAAATTGATTTCTGTTGTGGGTATAAAAAAGCAAAGAGAAAAAATTATTCTGTTAWGTTTGGCCACATTTTCAAAGAGCCACTGCAGAGGGCCCAAAGAGCCTCATGTGGCCCCAGAGCCCAGGTTGCAGACCCCTGATCTAGTACTAACAAAGTGTTAATGAATCCAAACTGTTTTGTCTAAGTATTTTTCAGTTATATAACAAGAAACCTGTAAGCAGTAAGCTTATGCTTCTTCTTACTGGTGCTAAAAATAACAGAAAGGTGATGTTTCATGTGATTTTTAGCACCAATAACAAGAAGCATTGGCAGGGTGACAAACATTTTGACTTTGATGATTAAAAAGTAAAAAGAGAGAAAGACTGAGGTTATAATAATTGGCCACATCTGGTTTTTGTTTCCATCAGTTCAGCTATATGGATTTATTTTCCAAAAAAGAATGAAAACTTCAAATTTTACAACTATAAACAGCTTGTCTTCTATGTAGGTTAAGTACTACTGTAAATACACATACCTAACCAGCATTTGGTCAAGTTCCAACAATTTTAAAGCTACTAAGTGATGTTTATTTTATTTATTTATTTTTGTTCTTTAACCTGAAGTACCTGATGATATTTGATGAATGTTGCACATCACTAGATAAATGCAGTCATGTCATAAGAAGTTTTGGATTTCTGTCCAGAAGTATTACACTGGGTCTGCAGAAAACAATCCACAAAAGAGTAAAYAGCAGAAATACCCTGGTTTAAAGTTCAGCTATTTAAGTTTTGATGATACTAAAAAACATTTTTAAKATTTTTCAAATGAAAAGTATTCCTGGTTCAATTTAGGTGTTCAGATGCATGTTAATATTGCAGACTGTGTGGTTGGTCAAACCAAAAGCAAATATTTCAAGCTTCATGCAGGCTTCCTRCCAGATTAAAGTGGGTATAGTTAATTTAGTCAAACTGACATGACATCAAATGTCCTGTGCTTGTTGTGCTCATCTATTTTAATTTCACTAACGCATTTGTGCAATTCTGCTTAAATCTTTTTTTTTTTTTTACCATCTGCCTAACCCCCAGGTCCTTTTAAGGACTGTTACCAGGTGCGACAGGCAGGCTACACCACTAGCGGCATGTACCTGCTTAAGACCGATAACAGCGATCGACTGATCCAAGCCTGGTGTGAACATAGTCTCGACAATGGAGGATGGACCGTTTTGCAGAGGAGGAGGGATGGCTCCGTCAACTTCTTTAGGAACTGGGAAAACTACAAGGTAAACTCACTAACGGGGGGAAAAAGATTTCAGACAAAATGCATAAAGTCAAACAAAAAAAATTTAAAAAAGTGTGTTTTATCAGTTGCTGGAAGTTGGTGAAATTTTTATAGCTTTTACTCTTCCCCCTCTCAAGTGACCCAGTCGCAGCAGCTCGTTTTGGGTCAGTGAGCAAGTGTTTGATCCAATGGTGTAAACAGCTTAGTGGAGAACTTTCTCATAATGAAGTTGCAGCCAAGGACTTCATCCAGGGACATGCATWCAAATAAACTCAATAAGAAGGCTGGGAGAGAAAAGCAGCTCCACTTTCAACCCTATTAATAATAATAATCCCCCCAGTCTCTTTTTTTCTTGTGTCTCAAATTTCCTTTATGAGTTACAGGATAGACAAGTTTGGGGAATAATAGCAGAGGACATTAGGGCATAGCTTCAAAAGTTGTAAAGCAATAAAAAAAGCTAAAGTTCCCCTCATGGATCCAATTAAATGTTGAAATCAATATTTGTAAACTGGAAAAACAAGACAGAAGCCWGTCTGAGCAGCTGAACTCTTCATTCAGTCACAGCCAAATTGCTGCTGGCTCAGCTTTAATTTTTAAGTAAGAAGCCATGGATCAGAAGCCTAGCACATTATTATCTTCATTTGAAGCCCAGCTGATCTCCTGTTTCTTGACTACAAGCACAAAGTTCATTAAAAAAAAAAAAACAGTGACATTTCAGTAACTCTGATTCCGCTTTAGCTTTTATTCAGAACACAGGCTGCTTTGGCTAACCATGTTAAAATATATTTTATTTATTAACCAGTTACAAGAAATCACATAACTGCACGATATTTTGCAAAACTAAAGTGTAGAGTCATTTAAACCAGTGTTTCCCAAAGTTGGGGTCGGGACCCAAAGTGGGGTCTTGAAACATCAAGGTGGGGTCCTAAAAAGATTTTTAATTAATTACATTTTTGCCTTAGTTGTTACAAAGGAGTGAGGTTAGTTTATTTAAAATGGATAAATGTAGTATAAATAATATTGTTACTGTGCCATGTTTAGTTGACCTGATACAAATGTTTATCATCCAAAAATAGTTGTGGGCTCAGGTCTCTGCTACTGTTATTTTGTGGGTCAAAAGCTGAAAAGTTTGGGAACCACTGCACTTTGGTTCCCAAAGTTGGGCTTGGGACCCAATTATGGGTCATGAAGCACCTTGGATAATCTCCAGGAATCAATTTAAAGGGTAATAAAATAATTGCTGAAGTACTATTTTCTCTATAATTATTACAAAACACAAAATATCTATAAATAAGTATTTATATTAGTGTACAAGCTGTTTAGATTGTCAAAAAGCCTGTGTTTTTAGGGTTATTAASGAAGTTCATGTACTCAGACCTGTAGGGGCTCCACAAAGGTGAAAAACATTTCCACTTGTCTTTGACTTTGGTTTTTAAAAGAAAAAAAATCCTTTCTTAAAAGATTTATTTTATTTTCTTCAATAAACAGAATGATAATGTTCTTCAAGTTTTTGATTTATATTCTCTTTTAACTAAAAGTTATTATCATTTTATAAATCAAAGTTGTTTATTGAGTTAATCTTTGCATTTATTGTCAGAAAAAAAGAAAATAGACACCATGAGAAAATGGTTGAAACATCTCTTTACATGTTTTACACAAACGCTTGTTTWATCAACTATTGTCCTTACAGTAAAGTGATTGTTTTTCTTTTTCTTTTTCCATTTAATCAAAGTTGATTGATGAGTTATAACTTCATTGAATTATATTTTGAAGTATAATTACTGAAATGTTCGTGTTTAATCATAGAAAAATGTTTCTTAGATTCAATTCAGTTGAAATGATTCTTGTAAAGTATTCACTGACCTTTGGTCTATTTGTAGCTGTGTCAAAGTTAATATTTGGGGTCAAAAGTTYTTGCCATGGATATTTTGTGGGCCAGAAGACAAAACGTTTGGGAACCACTGATTTAAACCACAGACAGAGTAAACATGGTGTGTTGCTTGTTCTTAACAGAAAGGGTTTGGCAACATTGACGGTGAACACTGGCTTGGGCTGGAGAATATCTTCAGCTTGGCGAAACAGGGCAACTACAAGCTGATGACCGAGCTGGAAGACTGGATGGGGAAGAAGGTGTACGCAGAGTACAGCAGCTTTCACCTGGAGTCAGAGAGTGAGGGTTATAAGCTGAGACTGGGGACATACCAAGGGAATGCCGGGGACTCCTTCAGCAGTAACAACGGCAAAGCGTTCACCACACTCGATCGTGATAAGGACGCTTTTACTGGTAGGTGATTGTTTATGTTAAATAAGCTTGTAACGTGACTTAGTTTTGTCTTCTGATGTTTATATCGTCTTTTCTCTAGGTAACTGTGCCCATTACCATAAGGGTGGCTGGTGGTACAACGCTTGTGGTCAGACTAATCTGAATGGAGTGTGGTACAACGGTGGAGTTTACCGCAGCAAATTTCAAGATGGGATCTTCTGGGCGGACTATGGTGGAGGATTTTATTCTCTTAAGTCTGTCCGTCTCATGATCCGACCAATTGACTAAAACTTTGAACTGTGGTTCTTTCAAATCTGCTTGATTTTATGCCAACAAATAATTTATAAAAAAAAAAGGCAGAACTGTAAATCTCTGCTGTTATATAAGGAGCCATGTAAAAGACAGTTGAAAAGAGACAATGGCATGAGTCTAAGACTAGACTAACAATTCCTGAGTTCTGCACAGTGGCTGAAATGATGACTGATCACTTTGCTTTCCGTAAGTAATTACCCTCAGTAAGTGGCTATCTAGCTCCCTGCAGCCATGCAGTATTACACTCGTGTCTAATTTTTGAATATGTAATAAAGGGGAATGGTTATTTTCTACGAGCATGGAATTTCTTATGAGCAGCTAATACTGGTATTAAGTAGTGTCTCTCTTACCAAGTAGCATTGGAAATAATCACATGCTGGCATTTAGCTACAGGTTTTGACGCCCTGTTCAGTTTTATGATACCCCTTTTCAGCTGGCGATGTCTCATGACATACTGTCGACCTTCAGGTCCGCAGAGAGTTTTTTATTTTACTTTCTGTAAATTTTGTAAACTTCTGTAAGCTTCATAATGGGCAGAGGGGGTGACCTCAATTATTTTATGAAATCCAGAGGAAAACACAAATAAATCGAACCAGCTTGAATAGAGGTGGGTAGCCATTTTACAGCTGCAATAGCTGTTGTTGTGTGTTGTCCATCTGTAACTTTTTTTTACTCTGTAAATTTCGTAAGCTTGCAGAAAATTTGTGGGTTGGGGTGGGAGGTCTGGCTTGAAGTGTCAACACCCTCCTCTAAAATCCTACCTTAAAGCCTGATCACATGTTTAGAAACATAAAAACTGATGCAATTCAAAGTTACACAGTCACAACACATATGTTGTAAAAATTGTTCCTATACTGGGGAAAATTCAGCAGCAGCGTCTGATCTAATTTACGTGTCTGAGAAGATGTTGATTTAAATCATAGGGAGATTTATTAATAAACAATGTAGTTAGAAAAACATTAACTGTAATTTAACTTTGAAATCACAWCTTTCTGTCAGAAAGACGACAACAAAGAAAGTTTGCTGGGAAAAAAAACTTAAAAAACAAGCTGTGCAGAGGAAAATCCAACTAGATTAGAAACAGATATGGATTAGGAAGGGCATTAATTGATGCAGCTATAAAATTATTTTGACTAAATGAAAAGCAGAAAGAGACATTAAGATAAAGGAAGCAACATCTGGAGGGGATTTGGAGGGGAACATTTCACAAAAAGCCACTGAGTGTTGATAAGCATATCTTGAAATGTTCTCTTTTAGATATTTTTCTCCAGAGGCTCTGAAAGTTGGAATAGATAAGAGTTGTCTGATGCTCTAACACCGAACACAGCTACAGTMAACAACTTGTGGCTTGCATGGTCTTCCTGAACACTAACTGCACTGACAGGCATGTTATGCATCTGATATGTTGTACATCACTACAGTCCCAGGGTTCAGACTTGGCCAGGACAGGCTACGTACTCTTCGTCTTTTGTGAGCCAGCTTTCAAGTTGTTTTGATCTGAGACAACACTTTACTTGCCAGTGTTCTCCATTTGACTTGGTATTTCATGACAACCACAAATWAGCATAAACAGCAAGGGCTGTTCTGCTTGTCTGCTGCCTTTTGTAAAGTCTTTTTCCATTGAGTTACCAAACAAACAAAAACTGTGTATTGGAGTAATAAAGCTCAATAATTTACACTGGGACACTGGTTGTGTTTCCATTACAAATGTGCACAAAACTTTGTTGATATTCTGTTAATGTCGAAAAAAACACAGTTTCACAACTGCAGTGTTTCCATTAAGTAAGAAATGCTATTAAAGTCAAACACGAATACGTTTGTTCTCATGATAAGTCATTGCA